AAAAAAGTTTCTTTGTTTCTATTATAAAATTTTTCAAACAGGCATTTTTTCTCCTTCACTGATGTGCATTGATGAGGCGGCACTGATGGGCACTGATAGGCAACACTAAAGGGCACTGATAGGCAGTACTAATGAGGTGGCACGGATAGGCGGCACTGATAGACAGCACTAATGAGGTGTCACGGATAGGCGGCACTAATATGCAGCACTGATAGGCGGCACTGATAGGTGACACTGATGATGGGTACTTATAGATGGCACTGACTGGCATCACTGCTGGGCACGGACTGGCGGCACTGACTGGCACAACCCCTGAGCACTGACTGGTGGCACTAACTGGCAACACTGCTGGGCTGCACTGGTGGGCGGCACTGGTGGGCAGCACTGGTGGGTGGGCACAGGTGGGTGGCACAGGTGGGTGGCACTGGTGGGCACAGGTGGGTGGCACTGCTGGGCACATGTAGGTGGTACTTCTGGGCACAGGTAGGTGGCACAGGTGGGTGCACTGCTGGGCACAGGTGGGTGCACTGCTGGGCACAGGTGGGTGATCTGCTGGGCACAGGTGGGCGGAGCTAGTGGGCGCACTGCTGGGCACAGGTGGGCGGAACTTGCGGGTGGCACTGCTGGGCACCGATCATCAGGGCACTCATCATCAGTGCCCTGATGATCGGTGCCGATCCCCGCTCTGACAACTGCCGGTTCTCGGCAGTACTTTCCTCACGATCTGACAGCGTGAGGAAAGTGCAGCCGAGAGACCGGCACTTGCATTTCCCTCTGATCAGCGTGTCATTGGACACCGCTGATCAGGTGGTAAAAGGCCGCTGTGATTGGCCTTTTACCACATCACGTGATCAGCTGTGTCCGTAGGACACAGCGATCACGGAGATCGCCGGGTGCGTGCCCCCTGGGGCGCGCAGGAGAGCGCGTTCTGGGGGGACGTCATATGACGTCCACCCAGAACTGGCCGGCCGCAGTGAAGCCGTCATTCGGCTATCTGCGGTCGGCAGGTAGTTAATAAAAGGCAATCTATTTGTGTAAACATATAAAACACATTATAGATACCTTTTTATAAGGCCCTTTCACATGTTTGTCAGGCGGACCCCATCAGTCCATCCATAGATTTTTATGGACCGGTGGGTGTCAGCAGACAATAGTTCACTGACACCCGCCGGCATCCTGTTCGGTAAAAAACAAATGGATGGGGATCCATTCACATCCAGCAAATTGGATCAGATGACAGTTCGGTGGAAACGGACAGGCGGTCCCATTGAAATCAGTGGACTGTGTCTGCTCTGCAGCAGCAAAGCGGACAGGGACCTGCAATCCACCTGCTCAGTGGGGATCAGTAGAGAGATCCCCCACTGAGCAGGCGGATAACGCTGACAGATCCATCCCACCTGAAAGGGGCTTAAGTGATCACATATCCTCTGTTCTCAGCTGCATGAGGAGCTCAGAGAGCTAGGGGTGGAGAAACAGCAGAACACTGGTCTTCCCAGCGAATGACTTGTAAGGGGGGGGGGGCATGTCAGGACAAGTCTGATTATTAGAAGAGAGCATGCTGAGTTGGCAGCACAGTTAGGGACCATGCTGTGCTCACATGCCTGGTGTGGTCAGTTTTTTGAGGGGAGAGCAGAGGGACTGGCAGGAACACCTGGGACTTCCCACAAAGGAAGCAATAAATGCTTTGAACAACGTTGCTGCATTCACTAAGATGCTCATCTAAGCGTTTTTTCCTAAATTATCAACACTCGCAGACTCCACCGATTGTGGAAGGGAGTTCTACATCCTTACTGCTCTAACAGTAAAGAACCCCATACTTAGTTTATGATTAAACTGCTTCTCGCCCATCTTCATTGAGTGGCCTTGTGTCTTCCTAAAGTGTTACTAAACTCTGGACCCAGGCTGAGTTCCCAGCACAGCTAGAGAACTGAACACGCTGTTTTTCATGCCTAGTCAGGGGCAGATATACCATTTGGAAACTCGGGCAATGCCCAAGGGCCCGGGGTCAGTAGGGGGCCCCATGAGATGCCCCTGGTACCTTTTTCATAGGCTTTTTTGAGTTTGGGCAAGGACACAGGGGCCCCATGATCCCCTATTGCCCCGGGGCCCCATGAGTTTTCAGTCTGCCCCTGTGCCTAGTGCGGTAAGTTTAAAACAGGAAAGCAGAAAGATTGTCAGGAACTTGAGGGATTTCACACATAGGAAGCAATACAAAGCGAACAATACTTTTTGATACACTTATATGGTACAGCAAGCGCATATCAGGAATATGAAATGTTGGATTTACATATTGTTTAATTAACCATTTTTTTATCTATAGTAAAAAAATAAATATATCTAGCAGGGATGGTGAAAATAACGTTTAATGAAGAAAAAAAGTGTAAAAAAATAGGGTTATATCCAAGCTCTTAAAATCCCTCCCCCCCCTCAAAAAAAAAATTTTTTTCAATCCCATCACATACAGTACGTGTGCATACGAACGTAAACATACATTGGTGCCTTTTCACACCAACGCAACGCATGTTACATATTGCTGTGCACACTGGAGTGAGAGCAGTACTTCTAGGTCCGTTGTTTACAGTTACCTCTAAACTGAAGATCTTTAGAGGCTTTTGAAACTTTACCGATGGAAGATTTAGGATACTAAAATTTGTCACCATAAACAAATTAAAGGCTTGGCATGTTGGATATCTATCTACTCGGCACAACCTCATCTTTTATACTTTACCAAAAATGGGTAATATATTGTCATTCCCTAAAATTAACTTTAGTATATTTTCTATTACAAATTTTGTTCTTGATAAACCATTGTGCCGATATTGTGTGACATAAGAAATTGGAACTACCACTATTTTATTCTTTAGGGTCTCTACCTTCAGGAAATATAAGTTTTGGAGCTTTTAAGTAATCTTCAGACCTAAAATCATTTTTTAAACATTTGCGCAATAAAAGGCAAAATCATTCTGGAAGTGAAGAAATTAAGGGGGAAATGTTCTTTTTACAAAACTTTGTTGGGGCTGAAATCATGTAGAGCAGCCTTTCTCAACTAGGGTGCCCAGGAACCCTGGGGTGCTTTGAGGTTTCTTCAGGGGTGCCTTGGTAAAATGTCTACAAATTGCCCAAATCTTGTATACAAGCCAGCGGGTGGAACAAGCCTGCCTTTTAGTAATACAAAGCCACAAGTTTTCATTGTGCACCATTATGACCTTCTAGCCGCCGGCATCCTGACAACCAATGACATCATCAGTTAAGGATGATGTCAGCTGCCTGCACAGCATCCTAGTTTGACCCTTCCCTACCCCTTTCCATCAGTATTGGGGTCACATTAGCTCAGTGATGGAGAAAAATTGATGGGGAAGAGAAACACTAGAATACTAATCAGCACCAGTGTGCAAAAAAGTATTTGCTTTGGAAGAATAAATCACCTTTAATGTTGGATGTCCTACATGTGTGGATGTTGATGCATTATAATAACCTATTAGAATAGTTTTTCCCATTTTAGAATGGGGTGCCTCAAGACTTCCCATAATTTTAAAGGGTGCCTTGACTGAAAAAAGGTTGAGAAACACTGTTCTAGAGCCAGGGGTCTAGAATTTCAGAATTCCTTTTCAGTAGAGCAATCTTAAAACCTGATGGTGTTTAGAGTCTCAGCCACCATCATGTATGGGCAGCACAGTGGCTAAATGGTTAGCACTTCCGCCTGGCAGTACTAGGGTTGCTGGTTCGTATCCCAGCCACGGCACCACCTGCCTGGAGTTTGCATGTTCTCTCTGTGCCTGCGTGGGTTTCCTCCGGGTACTCCGGTTTCCTCCCACACTCCAAAGACATGCTGGTAGGTGAATTGGATCCTGTCTAAATTGTCCCTAGTATGTGTATGTATGAATGAATGTAAGTTAGGGACCTTAGATTGTACGCCCCTTGAGGGTTAGGGTAGGGACTGATGTGAATGTACAATATATGTATGTAAAGCGCTGTGTAAATTGACGGCGCTATACAAGTACCTGAAATAAATAAATAAATGTAACGTATGTTCTCATTGGCAGCAACCTCCGGGATGCAGTTGGGTTTATGGGAGGCAGAGTCTGTATAAGCCAGCTCAACACAGACTCCACCTCCCCACATCTCAGCCACACTGTAGGGGTAGGTACCGATGAAAACTATGACAGCAAGACCCTATAAGTCAGCTTTTCTCAACCTTTTGTACCCCAGAGGAACCCTTGAATTCATTTTCAGATCTCACGGAACCCCTGGTAAAATGAGTCCATCAGGGGTCATTGGGAAAATGCCCCTTACATTGGTGGTGGGAAGAATGCTGGCCTTACATAGTTGGCCAGAATGACACCCTTGCAGTCATGCTGCTGGCTTTGCCAAATGGCGTGGAACCTAGAACTACGTGGGCACCATCAGATGGGAGGTCAGTTAGCCACAGCACAAGGAACCCCTAGCCAACCCTGGAGGAACCCTGGTTGGGAATGATTGCTATAGGTTTTTTTACAAAAATAAAACCAATCATTATGTGTAGCTCTAAAAAAAAAAAAAAAAAAACTCTTTTCATTTCCTGATATCTTTCCTTACAATTACGTTTTCAAAGCTATTTTATTTCTAGGTTCTTTTTTCATTTGGGGTTTTATGCGCCTTTTTTTTTTTTTTTTTTTTTTTCTATTTGCTTTTGTTACTGGCTTAAACAATGTGCTGCTTTCAAAGAGAACCTGTACTGCTCTATTAAATATAATTCTGTGCTTAAAAAAAGACACGAGAACATTTTTTTTTTTTCTTTTAACATAAAAACAAATGATTAAGAATTCTGCGGGCATTGAATAATGCCAACTACACCTCCACTTCTTCTGTGCCAGCCTCGCTAATGGATCTCCTAATTATAGTCGTGTCTTTCAGATAATGTGTACTTTATGATAATTGTGCAGCCTGGAAACTAATTAACTTGTCTCATTCTCCTTTTTCTGGTGTTTCAGCGCACCTTGAAAGTCAAGCCGGCAGCCTAAATGGCCAGCAATAACACAGCCAATATAGCGCAAGCCAGGAAGCTTGTAGAACAGTTGAAGATGGAAGCCAATATTGACAGAATAAAGGTATGACTCATGGCTGATATTTGTTGGAGAATGCACTGCATTGTCCTCGTTGATGTGCCCACCTCTGCCCATCTGCCACAGCCAGCATAAGCAAGTCTTTTGGATTTAGGGTTGTATATGATGGTCAGGAACCAGTAAGGTTTATATAATCTGGAGTGGGAATACCTTTTTGATCCTTTTAAAAATCACAAATCCATTTCCTTGGCACTAGCGATAACAGAGACCACCATAACCAGGGCTGGATTGACCATTAACCAACGAAGCATGTGAGTAGGGCATCAAGGAAAAGGGGCACCACAGACGTTTTTCCACAGTTATTCTGCCCTTTAAAGAATAAGTTCACCTCTCTTTTTTTTTTTTTTTTTTTTTTGGCCCTTTGTCCTATTAACCAATCCTACCTCTCCACAGATGTATGCTTACCATCCAACTGCCATGCCAAATCCTTTCTCTCCTGGCCAGGTAGGCACATTACAACACAGTAGACATCTATAGGGCCTGTGTACCTTTTGCCTGCCGAATAGGTTTTCATATTTTTATTTCGCTTTTGGCACTTCTTAATACCTTGACAGTGAAGCAATAGATAGGTCGATAGGGGGTGCCATTGTTTGGCTGTGCTCAAAGTGGTTGTAAACCTCAGACATGAAATATGAACAAAGCATACCCCTCTATAGTGTGTACTTGTCTCAGTTAAGAGGGGGTGTCATTGTTTGAGGTTTACAACCACTTTGAGCACAGCCAAACAATGGCACCCCCTCTTAACTGAGACAAGTATACACTATAGAGGGGTATGCTTTGTTCATATTTCATGTCGGAAGTTTACAACCACTTTGAGCACAGCCAAACAATGGCACCCCCTCTTAACTGAGACAAGTACACACTATAGAGGGGTATGCTTTGTTCATATTTCATGTCTGAGGTTTACAAGCACTTTGAGCACAGCCAGACATGAAATATGAACAAAGCACACCCCTCTATAGTGTGTACTTGTCTCAGTTAAGAGGGGGTGCCATTGTTTGGCTGTGCTCAAAGTGGTTGTAAACCTCAGACATGAAATATGAACAAAGCACACCCCTCTATATTGTGTACTTGTCTTAGTTAAGAGCACTAAGTGTAATTTCTGTCTGCGGTTTAGTTCCTCTGCTGGCAGCATGACTCATCTCTGACAGGTTTTCCTGACACCAAGAGAAAAATGGTGACAAGGGAGGGACCTCCAGCAGATTGACAGCCCCAGCTCTGTTCCTGTGTGCTCTGTGGAAGGGTGTCTCTTCCCTCCAATCAGCTCTCAGAGCTCTCCTCCTTGAGCTCTGCAGTGTGTAACTTCAACTCCCCAACCCCTTTTTTCTGAACTGCCAGATAAGATTAATAAATTCAGCACTGTGAACAGATGTAAGGGCAACACATAAAAATGATAGGTTTAGGATGTCTACTTTACTGAGGCAGGATAATGTGTCTTATTGGCTCCCCATCTCATCTAAGATGGGGGTCTTTGGTCTTAAAACATTACTAAATAACCAATGGAGGTAAATATGTTTATGAAATACCCTGAAGTTATTGATTCTCTGCCAAGACAGAAATAAGTATTGCCAGAGACTTCAGCTAAGGTATTTACGATAGGGGAGATCTGGCAGGTATCTGTTTTCTGGGTTGCTCAAGCTTGGAAATTTGATGGTTTTATGAAGGCTTCTAGACTGAAGTGTGGATCGGCTAAAAGCTTGAGAGGGTCTGCATCTGTCCTCTCTAGGATCTAATAAAAAGTTTCTTGCATTGGCTAACAGTTTGTGTATTGTATGAACTGAAGACAAAATTCAATGAGTGACCTGGACCCCAAACAACATGGCTTCTGCATATACCTTTCCATGTGCCCAATACGCACAACCATTACATGGATAACCCCTGATATTAGAACACTGACCTCAGCCAATAAGCCATCATAAAGCTTAATGTGTTTTTGGTTGTCCCCGTCCTTTTCATCAGAACCTCCCATGTGTGGAAGTCTAAAGCTGTTCCCTCTTAGCTAAACCCACCAGTGGGGAGCCTTTGTCTCTGGTCACCATTGGGGCCGGACTGACCATTTGAGCACCTGGGCATTACCCGAGGGCCCGGGGTCAGTAGGGGGCCCCATGAGATGCCCCTGGTACCTTTTCTATAGGCATTTTTGGGTGTGGGCGAGGACACGGGGGCCTCATGATACCCTATTGCGCAGGGGCCCCATGAGTTGTCAGTCCACCCCTGGTCACCACTATGGATTTTTCAAGTTATTGATTGCTTCACTCTATTGAGTACATTTTTATAACACATTATTATATATTTCACAAGGACAAGGCACACATTCTTGTTTTTTTTTTTTCCTTTCATTTCATGAATAATATAATATATAAATAAAAAATGAAGGTTCTTTAGCATTCCATCATATTTTTGGGTTCTGGAATATTTTATAATTGCACCATCAAATAAAAAGATTACATTTTTAGAACTTCACCTCCACTCTTTTTAAACCTTGGTGTTCATACACCACCATGTAGAATACCAAGTCATGAAGGACCTCTGATTGGTAGCTACTGCTTTCTTGAAAGCACTGTCATTTTATATCACAAATACTTTAGGATTTGTTATTTATCTTCTTTTTTTATATTGGAAACAAAACATAGTAGACATAACAAGTAATTTAGCCCTTTATCCAGGCTCTGTGCTCATTGCACCAAGATCACATTCTATGTTTGAGATGGGCTTGAGCTCCGATGTACTGGAGTTACTAAATGTCCCCAAAGATCACAGAACATCACAGCAAGTGATACCAAAGTGTTCCACAGCTTCGTTATAGAGACCAAAATGAGTATGAGTTTCCTCTGGAAGCTGTTAAAGCTTTGTTAATATGGGAGTGGAGCTTCAAGCTGGCCAGTTTCCAAAAACCAAAAAAAATGACATTTCGTCATCCTATCTTCAGTTCAATTTTCCCAGGTTTTGACATCTGCTTAAATTTTGCCTTCTCTGGTACCTCCACCTTGCTTCATCAACATGCCATCAATATTTTTAGAAAAAAAACTTTCACTTTGCATTTCATACCTTATTTCAGACCCAGCAATGTCATCAGTGGCTCTGTGTGCTTCTCTATGTATTACAGGCAGATCATGGTTGGTGGGAGGGGCTGGCAGGGTGCTGTACATAGTCCCCTGAAAACATCACAGCATCCTCCCTCTGTACTTCTCTCAAGAGCCCTCAGCCCTGATGCAAGTAGTGGGCTCACTCTTGGAGTTAGGCAAATTTCAAAATGGCTTGATAGATGGATGTCAGTATGAAAATGTTGGTGTTTTTGGGGAGTCTGCATTTATGGCTCCATGGCCAGGAACAGTTGGGCTGGGGAGGAAAGGATTAGACCATGCTGAACAGGGCGGACTGACCATTTGGAAACTTGGGCACTGCCCGAGGGCCCGGGGTCAGCAGGGGGCCCCAGGAGATGCCCCTGGTACCTTTTTTTAATAGGCTTTTTTGAGTTTTGGCAAGGACACAGGGGCCCCGTGATCCCCTATTGCCCAGGGGCCCCATGAGTTGTCAGTCCATCCCTGATGCTGAACCACCTCCATCCATGAAATTAGGTGGGTTTTGACTTTCTACAGTTTCTAATGCACACTGTGAGAAGCTCATTGTTTCCATTCAATCCAAAAAAATTAATTCAGTACAGTAAAGGAGGTAAGGCTAGAGTTCAGCTTTAAAATTGGTTTTCCATAAATAATCCCAAGACATGTTTTATCAGATGACCCATCTTCTAAAATTAGCTATTTTGTCTTAATCTGCCATCTTGAATCGCATATCCTCTCCTATGAGACCAAATTCTGTCTCTTCTTCTAACCTTCTTCTTCAGCCCTCCCAGCAGCCAGTGATTAATTTTTTCCTGTTCTGTTAAATACATGCATTAAATAACATTTTCGTTCCCCACGCATTTTGTTAAAAAATTAATGCATCGGAAATCAAACCCCAGCTGAACTTCCCTTCATCAACGGATTTGAATGCACCATGTGAACTCCAGAATGGAGCGACTTGTATTCCACCCATGGTGCAATGAATAATGGAGCTGAATGCTTCAAACTGAGAGAGATGGTGGGGAGAGGCAGATGTATTTGGATAATTTAGAGCGTTGAGCTCCTTGTGTCATTAGCCCAGCTGCATTTTTCATAAAGCACAACCCACCCACTGTTCTGCTGTTGACATCTATTAATGTTGTTAGGTTTGTGATGCTGGTGAAGACATTGGGGACATTTACCAAAATGGTATCTGCATCCTACTTCATTTTTCTAAATCTTGCGTTTGATATTTTTTTCTCCATTGTCTGTGCTATGTATCTTGTAAAATAAAAAGTGCAATTGTGCACTTCAAAACATAATTGGAAAAATTGTCTAGTTTTAATAATTCTCAGTAATTGCTCATTATGTCCAATTGTAAGCTTTTTCTGGTTAAATCACATCAGCTCTCACACCTGTACACCCATAATGGACCATGTTTTCAATTCCCCATATTATTACAGGTACAATCTAACTCACATACATACTAGGGCCAGTTTAGACAGGAGTCAATTAACCAACCAGTCAGGGGCGGACCGACAACTCATGGGGCCCCCCGGGCAATAGGGGACACCTGTACACCCATAATGGACCATGTTTTCAATTCCCCATATTATTACAGGTACAATCTAACTCACATACATACTAGGGCCAGTTTAGACAGGAGCCAATTCCAGTCAGGGGCGGACTGACAACTCATGGGGCCCCTGGGCAATAGGGGATCATGGGGCCCCTGTGTCCTTGCCCAAACTCAAAAAAGCCTATGAAAAAGGTACCAGGGGCATCTCATGGGGCCCCCTACTGACCCTGGGCCCTCGGGCAGTGCCCGAGTTTCCAAATGGTCAGTCTGCCCCTGCTACCAGCATATCTTTGGAGTGTGAGAGGAAACCCACACAGGTACAGGGAGAACATGCAAACTCCAGGCAGGTGGTGCCGTGGTTGGGA